TTCACAGAGGCGTGAAATTGATTCCAAACATTTTCTTTTTCTCATCTTCACACTGTTTGATCTTTGCTCCCCGAGACGACCTTCAATTAAAAAAATGCACTTCTTACCATCTCACCTAAAGATATCAAAGTTTCATCTGCTTTCTTTTTATTTTTTAATAAACTTTTGTGCTCAGCTGGGATTACAGGATGTTTTCACTTGTTCTGCTGATACAAACACAGAGCAAATTGCTCCAATTAGGAGAGAGACATTTTATCGACTGAAAAAGTTTTATTGCTGCAGACGTGACAGGTAGACTGATGGAAACAGAGGTGACCAGGAATTCTGAGAGCGCCACCTGCTGCAAGCTACTCGTGACATTAAAGATGCATTTTATTCAAGGTGACTAAAATGCAAAGAACAAATAAAATAATGTGTTTGCTCCAGTTTTGCCACACGTAAAAAAATACCCTTTGCACTATTACTTATCATGCTTTTTGGTTGAGTGATTACTTAATTGTTTATCATGGGGCTTTTTTGGGGGCGGGGGGGGGTTGCATCTGCTAAAGACTAAATCTGCATTCACAAGATCTCTGCTTCATCCATTAAAGAGCAAGTCACTCCCAATCACCATTTTTTTTTTTTGCTGATAAACTATATAAATGAGTGTCCGATTGTGCTGTAGACCAATGTATTCAATAATTCGGCACTTTAGTGCAACTTAGTTAAAATTTAAATATTCTGCCTAAAACTGTCAGCGATGCACCATTGTCAGGCAAAAACTCTGCACTGCATTTGAATTTAAATCTGCCATCGCTATTGGCTAAGATGTACACTATGATGTTAGATGGTACATTATGATGTCACAATGTCGTAAGTGTGTGTATATGTTAGAGGCTCCGCCCTCTTGGTCTGCTAGACAACAGCATTTGTTGCATTTTTCAAACAGGAAATGGGAGTTGAGTAAGAATCTGGCAGGGGGTGACTTGCTCTTTAAGTACCGAGGCACCTGGTAACCATGGAAACCAATGTTGCATCATGTCTTTGCTCAAATATTCAAACAGCATATTTAGTTTTAGTTTGCTTCAAGGTCAAAACCAAAACAAATTGAAAAAAGTTCTGCATTTTATTTTACAATTTAAGATCTCCAAAGCAACCACCCAAGTCTCGTATTGTATGTGATTTAAAACATGTCTATGAAGTTTGCTAAGCTGAAAGAACACCAGAACTCTCCACTGATTTACTTGATTTTTGAAACCAGTCTTGATGCTCTTTTAGCTGAAAATCAGCCAATGCTGGCCACATCACTGCAAAAACAGCAATGTTTTAAAATGGGGTAATACTCTTGAATATTAATTTTTATTTAATTTTTTTAATTATATTTTTATTTTATTTTATTTTATTTTATTTTTTGCTTAGAGAAAAAATTGGAAAAAAAACAAAAATTTGTTTGGCTGTAATTTTTAAAACTGGCATCTGCCATCCAAAATAAAATTCTGCTTTTTTTAAAAGATTTTTTACTTTAGGTTTGTTTTCTTATGAGTGTTATGATTTATTTATGCATTTATGCATTTTTTGCATAATTTAGGAAATGTTGACTTCTTACAAAGAAGGATACCCTGATATTTAGAAAACATAGTTTAATGTGTTTATGAACAAGCTGATTTTAAAAATAATTTGCTTGCTTTGGGTTTTCACATCTTACAGTAATTGAGCAAATGAGTTTTATCTCAACACTGAGAACAAAGATGAGTAAACATGGCTCAGAATAAATCACCATGTGCTCGAAATTTGTTGAGATCTTAACTCAAAATAATTTTGTTCTGATTTGATCGCTGTTGGTGAAAAAAATAAAAATAAACAGGAACCAAAGTGAAGAGGTTGTCAAGAACACATGACATGTATTTGCCAGTGAAGCAGGGGCTATTGAGGGCTTTAATGGAGTGTTTGGTTTGAAGGTTCAAATATCTTCTGTGTGTTCATTCTGTCTTTTGTCAATTTGCATTGCTTGGTTCTTTCGAAACACAGAAAAAGAGAGTTGTTCTTTACCTAGTTTTGTTAACATTTCAACTACCGTATTTTCCGGACTATAAGCCGCTACTTTTTTCCCAAGCTTTAACCATGCAGCTTATAATGAGGTGCGGCTTTGCTGAAGATTTTCCTTCACCTGCCAGGGGGCGCTTTAGCAGAAAGTGAAACAGGTGGAAGTCAAAAGTGGAAATCGAAGAAAGTGCTCATTCTAATTTAGCACATGCAAGCAGCCGGCACGACGAAGAATTTTTTACAAATCCATACCCCCTCATGGTAGCTTCACGTATGAGTTCATATGTTGCCGCATTTAAGTTGAAGGCCATCGATCTGGCAGTAAAGGAGGGAAACAGTGCTGCCGCACGTAAGCTTGGCATGAATGAAGTATAAGAAAACCGATGTTGTTGACAGAGAGACATAAAATGTCTCTTTTGCAGGTTTCCAGGAGCCATAGGGGACACAGCAGACATGCAGAGAAGAAGGTGCTCTAGTCTGACCAGACCAAAATTTTACTTTTGGCTAATCCCCACTAAAATGTGGTGTCAGCATCATGCAGGAACATGAAAGCTGGTCGGAGTCGATGGGAAGATGGATAGAGATAAATACAGGGCAGTCAAGCACAGAAGAAACCCTATTGGATGCTGCAAAGGATTTGAGACAGGGAAGGAGAACCAACTTCAAGCAATATAATTACCCTAAACATGCAGCGAGAGCTACAATGGAATGGTTTAGATTAAAGAATATTCACGTGTTAAAATGGCCAGTCAAAGTTCAGACCTAAATCCCAGTGAGTGTCTGTGGGAGGACTCAAAAATTGCTGTTCCCACATGCTCTCCATTAAATCTGGGTGACCTTTAGCTATTTTGCAGCTAAAAATGTGCAAAGATTTCAGTCTGAATATGTGCAAAAGTGGTTGAGAAAAGATTTGCAGCAGGAATTCCAGCTAAATGGGACCAATGAATATACAGACGTGGACAAAATTGTTTTGGTCGGTCAATGAAAGAAAAACTCACAATGGAGCATAACAATAAAAGAACACTGTCCCTACTGTGAAACATTGAGGAGGCTCTGTTATGTATTGGAGCTGCTTTGCTGCATCTGCCACAGGGTGTCTTGAATCTGTACAGGGTACAATGAAATATCCAGACTACCAAGAGATGCTAGGGAGACATTTTTTGGCCAGTGTCTGAAAGCTTGGTCTCAGTCGCAGGTCATGGATCTTGCAACAGGACAATGACCCAAAACACGCAGATAAAACCCCAAGAATGGCTGAGAAATAAAACATTGAACTATTCTAAAGTTCTATGAGCCCTGACCTAAATCCTATTGAGCATCTATGGAAGGAGCTGAAACATGCCACCTGCAAAAGGTGTCCTTCAAACCTGAGACAACTCAAGCAGTTTGCCCATGAGGAAAGGGCCAAAATGCTTGCCAAGAGGCGCAGAAGTCTCATTGACAGCTACAGGAATCATTTTATTGCAGTGATTGCCTCAAAGGGTTTAGCAAAAAAAAATATTAAGTTAGGGGTGCAATCATTTTTGTCCAGGCCTGTTCCATGAGTTGTTTTTTTAATAATTCCATTGAAGCAGTGTTGAAAAGCAATGTCTTACTTTTGTTGGTTAAATTTAATAGGATTTTTATTTTATTAATACTTTTGTCAGATTCAAGTTAGTTCTATGACCTTTGTGTGTTTTTCTTTCATTGACCAAAGGGTACCAACAATTTTGTCCATGTCTGTATAAAAATGCAGCCAAACCCTTTCAGATTTTTATTTGCTTACAATTTTGAAAACTATGTATCCATTTCATTGTACTTCACAATTATGCGCTACTTTCTGTTAGTCGATGACAGGACATCTCAATGAAAACATTAAAATTTGTGATTGCAAAGTGTCAAAAAAATGTTAATGTTCAAGAGGTATGAATACTTTAGCAAGGCACAATCTATGAAACATATTGTGCCTTTGACTGATTAAACCAGTGATTTTTAATATAGGTTATTGACAAGGATGAAAACTAAGCACAGCAAAAAACAAAAATTATTTTTGCAAAATCCCGAAAACAGTTTTCTTTACTATTTAAACACATAAAATGACAAACATTCTATTATTCCAATTCTTTTATGTATTTATCAAACAGCATAATGATGAAAAGAAATACAATTGGCACCTTTAATACTTGGATTATCCCCTGGAAAGGAGAAGAAGACACCCAAGGGGTTTGAAACAGCAATTGTTGTATTTGGAAAGTACAAATCCTGCTGAAGAGATGGAGATCTTTGAAACTTGGAAGTAAGTGTATCAAATACGATCAAACAAAAAGGGTCAAACGAAAAAGCTACATTTTGCGCCTGAAGACAAGTAGGTGGCTGAGTATTTCAGTTTACTTGCTGCATATCCTTTGTCTTACTTTGGATTTCATGTGCTGTTATTCAATTGCCAAACATACACAAGAAACTTGGTGAAGTGAATCCGGGTAGAACAGACCTCTAAATCCTGCACTAGCTGTGGAAAAACTATTTGTAAAATGTCCAGATGCTTCGACAATAATCTACCTGAATTCTGTTGGAGTATAAACTGATAAAAGCCTAACACTGCTTGTCAGCTGGCTCAAAAAAAGGCTGTTTGTTATTTACAACAGCTGGAAAGTGCTGCTCTGAAATTACAGTAGCAGAATAAAGTCTCTCCAAACAAAGTTTCAAAAACACACAATTTAATCTATATGGCACTCCGGGTTGAGTTTAACTTTAATCTCTGGACCTGCTGAGCAGATGTTTCTGTGGTGTTGGCGTAAGAAACGGTTTGTCTTCTTGAAATAAGATTCAATAGATCTTTTTTATTTAGAGCTTTATGAAAACCAAACAGATGGAGCTACAGGAGGTTTGAACACAGAAAAACTGTAGAAACCCACATTAAATACATTTATGATAATGTACAACAGAGAGAACACTTTGCCCGCTAACGCAGTTTCAGACTAACACTACCCTCTAACGCATCTATACATATGACTCTTTTCTACAAACATACAACGGTTTAAGTTCCTCTGTGCTGTTTAGCTCTGTGGAATTTAGAACACAACCAGGGAAACCTTTAGTTTTTCTGATTTGAAGAATAATTATTTTTGTTTTTAAGGTTGTGAGGATGCTGCACAAGGTGGATCACAGTAAGACATTTCCATCTGGAACGACTGAGTGAGCAGGTGCTGAAACTTATTTGTGCTGGCTCAGGACACCCCTGAGGAAGTCTTCAAAGCGTGGGACAGAAACTTTCTTTGTAGGTTCATCGGCGGGCTTTTCTTCATCAGCAAGAGGCTCGTCAGCTGAAGAGGCAGGCTCAGCGTGCTGCAGGCGGCAGTTGCTGTCGTACTCAGGGTCGCAGTCAGGATCCGGAAGGATCACACTGCTCTTGTTGGGCTTTGAAGGTCGGGAAAACTTGGAACATTTGGGATCATAGGGATGACAGAAGGGTTTATCTGAAGCCTCAGAGCCAGAATGAACCGGGGTGCAGTCTTTGTCATAGTGCACAAAGCAGTCGTAGCCCTCCTTGGTCTTGCCACGGACACCGAGGTTGTAGCGGACCTGGTTGGTTGATTGATTTGTTGTTTTTTGGTTCATAAGCAGATTGAAGATCAAGTGAAAAAAAAGGCAATACTTATTATTATCAATTTAACTTTACTAAAACAGTTATTTCAATCAAATGTTTAAGAATAAATGTAAAGGATTAGTCAAAAGAGAAACAATTCAAACCTACTAACAGGACTTGAGATTCAGACCTGGTGCTCGGGGAGCTGTGGAGCGGGTTTGCGCAGAGCTGCAGCGGCCGCCAGAATGCAGTATGGGTTGTATTGAGGGTCGCAGGTCAGAGGAGCAGCAGGAGGAGCAGCGGCATAAGGAGCAGGCTTATCTTTGGGGGAGTACTCTAGGACGGGTTTGGTGAGTCCGGACAGCCTGGTGGCGGTCAGGGGGTTGCAGCCTGCATCGAAGAGAGGGTTGCAGTGCTGCTCTCTGGGAGCCTCCCCTGCAGCCAGTGGAGCAGGTGCAGCAGCAGTGTTCACACAAAGAGGATCCACTGCTGGGTCACAGCTTGGGTACAACAGCTGGTAGTACCCGCTGGGGCCCTTCTGGACCAGAGGTGGGTGGCAGTAAGGGTCATTAGGGTCACATTGAAGGGCAGCATAAGAAGGAGCATAAGAAGCAGCTGGGCGGTACCCATATGCTGCTCTGAGGTGGTACTGCAGGCACTCTACATCATCAGGGTGGCAGATCCTCAGCAGCTCAGACCTTTGCTCAGTGTTCAGGAAGGGCTCCAGGACGGGAGCGTAGTAGTAGAAACCAGTGGGGCTCTTCAGGGGCATGGGCAGGACAGGGGTAAGGATGGGAGCTGGTACCTTAGCTGGAGCCATTTCAGGCTCCGGAGCAGCGGGCTTGGACGTAAGTGGGTAGAGGCAGTAGGGATCAATGTAGGGGTTGCACATCCTGATTGCACCAGACCTAATAGAGGAAGGCATGACCACAGCAGCTTTGGGTTTGCTGGTGGACTCAGCTATGCATTCTGGGTCATCAGAATTTGCACAGGTTTTGTAGATTTCACTAAGATGTTTGAGGTAGTGATTGAAGGTGGGCCCCTCCTCAGACCTGTGCTTGTTTTGTAAGTAGGCCATGTACAAACGATCCAGATCCTCCACCTAAAAAACAAGTCGGGATCAAATTTAAACAAAGACTCTCGATCAGATGATTTACATGCCTCTCAGTGTAAAGCCTGAATCATTTAGATAAAGTTATGAAAACTCCTCATTGGGCTTTTCTATTACTCTTCTACTTTCTCGTCTTTGAAACAATGAAATTTGACTCATAAACAACAGAGCAGCAATGCATACTGAGCACTGCCAGATATCTAAATATTTAAAGAAGCTAAAGTCATATTAATACTTTTATGTGTGCAAGATCTAAGCATTAAATCTTTTATGATGTCATCTGAACTGAAGGAAAGAAGAACCTGTAAAAACAAAGAATAAAATCTGTATAAATGAGTCCATTTCTGCCTAAAGTATTGCACGTTTGCTATTGTTAAAACTCTCATAAACTCTGTGATGCAAACTGATAACAGTTTCATGGTACTAGCTGAATAATTAATGTGAAACAAGCTCCACTCACTCCCTCCTGGTTGTGTGTGTCCATAAAGTACTTGTACCATCCCCAGAAGTCAGGCACACGTTTGAACTGGGGCACAGCCAAGACGGGGACGTTCCTTCTGTTGCGAACCAGCTTTTTCAAGTTGGCCAGTGCATCAGCTTTCACATCATCAGTCACTGCAGCCCCTGCAGGGAGGTGGAGAGGGAGAGAAAGTCGACTGAAGTTTGTATGCCAGTGCCAGAATGCATGTTGAAAGAAAGATGGAACAGATAGTTTTCATTTATTGAGAAGCAGTTCTTCAGACAGTTCGGTTGTTTACACGAAAATAGAATAACTTAGTGTTGTGGAAAGATTTTTAGACGCATGCAACATTTTAATGATCCATTCATTCAAACAACCCTGTGATGTTTGTCAATTTACATGGTAAAATTGTTAAATATCTGGAATACTTGCAACATTTTAAACATAACACTCATTTTATTATTTTCTAAGAGTTAGATAAGAGAACTGATACCATGCTACAACTTGTTAGCTAAGCTTAGCACAAAGTGAAAATAGCTGTTATCTCAGTAAACTTTATTAAACACACGTATGATCAGGAGAGGAGCAGGCAACCCTGGTCCAGCATGTTTTAGTTGTTTCCCTGTTCCAGCACACCTGATAAAAAGGTTGAATTACGCGTTTTCTACAGGCTATAACTAGATCATCGTTTTATCATCTTCATCAAATAGCAAGACTCAGAGGTCTCACATCCAGACAGGTCCTAGAGAGGATGATGCGTTCACCTCCAGCAGGCTGGACCATTGCAATGGTCTTCTGATTGGTCTTCCCAAAAATGCTGTGAAGCAACTGAAGCTTATTCAGAATGCTGCTGCGAGAGTCTTAACAAGAACCAAGAGAACTGAGCACATCACTCCTGTTCTTAAATCTCTACACTGGCTACCAGTAAACTACAGAATCAATTTCAAAGTGCTTCTACTAGTTTATAAATCACTCAGTGCCATGGGGCCAAAATACATGCTGGATCTTGATTCAGTATATTCACTCAGTAGGGCTCTGAGATCATTAAGCCTAATTTATGCTTCTACATCTGCGTCAGTACGGAGACACGCAACGCCATTGACTCCACCTGTCCTTGTGAGCCTACTGAAGAGCCCTTGCAAGGACACCAGTCTAACGGAGAATGCAAACTTGTGATTGGTCAGGACACCGCTTTGTCAACAACACCACCCTAGCGCCCTCAAAATCAAAGGAAGCCGAAGATATCTAGTGACAGACACAGAGCAGATTGAAGAATACCTCATGGAAAAACTCTAAAAATATGAATATTTTATTCACCTATGACTAGATGAGTAAAGAGATATGCAGCAAGCATTTTATTTGTGGACGAAAATGATGGGAAACGTGGGTTTAGAGGTGGCGAGCACATGAAGAGGTGGAGGAGAATGAGGGACATATTTGCATGACAGGATACCCCAGAACAGCACTACGCCCTCTGTTGTCCTAGCAGGGAATTGCTTTGCAACACTAACCAGGAGACGGAGAAGTCCAAGAGCAAAATGTCTCTGTCAGTGCGTGTGCGTCTCTCCCTTGTGGAGCTGAGGCAGAAGCATAAACTAGGCTTTAGGAAGCCGTCAGCTTGTAGCAGAGATGGGGAGTTGTGGCATCAACAAGTCATCTCCATGCCGTGTTTTTCTTCAGATCAGCAGCTAAATCAGGTGATTTCAATCAGCATGGTGAATGAACCTTGTTCAGTTGCTGAGCAGAACAAAATCACGGCATGGAGATGTCTCCACAGTTCCCATCTCTGGCTTGTACCCCGGGTCAGAACCAAACATGGTGACACTGCTTTTAGCTACTATGTTGCACACAGATGGAATCAGCTTCCTCATGACCTGAAATGTGCCTCAACTTTTAAATCAAAATTGAAAACATTCATGTCTTCATCAGCCTCTGAATGAATATTTCTTAAGCTGCATCTTCTGCGCTGCTCAACCTTTAACTTTGTTGTTTTTGTTACTTTTAAATCTGAAATTAATTTGTGTATTTAATTTGATCTAAATGTAATTGTGTATTTAATTGTGCTGTCACACTGATTTTAAGTTCTTGCTATTCTTGCTAATGGAAAGCATGTGGTTAACAGGCCTCTGCAGAGCTTAATGACATGATAACAGGTGATTCAATCATGCTGGAGCATTGAAACAACTAAAACATGCTAGATAGTGGCATACGAGAACTAGGGTTGTCCCTTGGATCAAATTGATAAAAGCTATAGATGTTAAGCTTTTTAATTCATGCAAGAGTTTTCACAGAAGTTCACGCTAACATTATTCATACACTTTTGAACCAGCATATTTTACTTTACATGATTATTTACATGGGATTTTGGGGTTATTTGCCGCAAAAACAAGCTGATTTTTACTGAAAAAACACAAGAAGTTTACACGCGGTATTCACATGTAAAATAAAATTCCCACAAGTTTACCATTTGATTTAGGAATTATTTCAACACGGGCACGTGAAAAATGAAGCCTTTCAGAATGGGATTTGAAAACAATCAATGAAATGTGAAATTCCTGTAAAAATTTCAACACGCCATTTGTAAAAAGTGATTTTTTTTTAAGAATGCCACGCAGACAAGTTCTCACCTTCTTCTTGCTGGTTCTGCTCCAAAGGCACGGCCCCCAGCAAGTCTGTAAAACACACAAGCAGCACCCACATCAGCAGCAGCAACATTTGTTAACTTTGACCAGATGTTGAGCTTTTCCTCAACATCAGGGAAAAGGCTGAGCAGCTAATAAGCCTGTGGGTGAAACACGGCAGGTGCTGGAGCTCTGGCGCCCTGAAACAGGCAGCGTCCTGCAGATTAAACACTCCTCCACCTCCTCCTCCACGCCTTCACCCAGCCTCGCAGCATATTGTATCTTTTACTGTAGCTTTGAACTAGGCCAGCGGAGTGTATGCCGCTACTGGGGGCCTCCTCAAAGTTAACCTGTAAAACTACAAAGAGTAGGCCCCCACACAAACCAATTACCACTGTAAAAGCTGCTGGTGCGAGGCGTGGGAGGGGGTCTTGTCTGAGTGCCTTCAGGTCTGCAGGGCTTTTGTGCAAAAGGTTTATGGCTATGAAAATAAAAAGCGCCAAGTCAGCTGATTATAACGGAATCTTCTGGTTATTGTAATTTATTAACATGGAAAACTTCCAGGAGCAGAGATAAATGTGTCCTTATATCCTGCAGGATTGTGTAGCTCTAAAGAGCTTCATCACAACGTGCTTTTCTACTGCTGCAGAGACGAGGGTAATGATGTCTTTACACCTCTGACAAGGAATAATATGCCAGAGTCCAAGAGTGGACCTCTAAAAGGTCCAAATATTTGTAAAAGCACTCTCACAACACATGTTAGGAGAAAAGAGGATGCTACTTAAGGTGCCATAAAGTATTTTAAGTTGTGTGTCCTCCAAAGAATGATCATGCAGACCCAAACAAGTGCCACTGACTGTTTTGGGTTATGTTAAAAGTTTAGGTCTATGAAACTTCTCAGATAATTTGATTTTTAAAATAATATTTTGGAGGAATATGTGCCATGTTTTCTAATTTAGAGCCACGCGTGTTACACAAAAGGTCTAATTTAGCAGTAAAACAGTTGTACAGTAAACATTGTGCACTAAAATATTAATGTATTGTGTCTAAAATCTAAACATTAAGCAAAATGTTTTTATTTAAGAAAGGTGGGAAAACATAATATGAAAGCAGAATATGTTGCTGAGTTGAAGGATAAAGTTTCTGACTGTAACAGAGTTGTACAGAAAAACAAATGTTGTCAGCATTCAATAAATAGTATCAATAAAAAAATGTGCAGAATTTTAGGGAGTTGTGGGGAAAAAAAATGAAACTAAAACTTAAAAGCACAATAAAACCTAAAATCTAAATGTGTTCAAGCGTGTTAACAGCATCTCACCTGGTAATAAAACAACTACTAACAGGAAACCTGTGTGGATCAGGGAGACAGACGGCCGCGCCATTTTCTGTCACTTCCTGAGAGAACAGAGAAGAAACAATATTAAATATTTCCTGCAGGATGAACATCTGGAAGCACCACATTACATCTCAGCTCTACTTTGATTGATCTTTGCGTCTTGGAAATGAAATCCTCGGTTAGACAATGCATGCCGAACAAAGGGATCGCTTTAATTTACCCGGCTGAGGTTGTAACAGTGGAGAGGATTGAGGACAGACTGTAATGGAGCATTTGAGGGATTACCGAGGGAATTTAGGCTTTGATTGTGAATGTTAGAAAATCATAAATGAGAGTCAACTCAACTGCCAAAGCTTGATTTGCTCTTTTATGTTGCTGCACAGATGGTTTGTTGAATTACAGCAGCAGTTCTCAAGGGACAAATTGTCTTCTACAGCTCTCCTATCCCACAAGTTTATATTATCATCAATTTCCAGGACATTTAAAGCAGAGTTAAAGCAACGTTGCAGAGAGTCGCTCTGAAAAGTAACTTCCAAGCACCAGTCCTTACCTGCAGAGATGCTGATTGCTGTGGCTCTGGATCCAGCAGCTCTGTTGGACGGAGGAGGGGAGGTTTGCTGGACTTAGAAGTTGTCTGAACCCTTTAGTGCTCTGATCCCCTCTGTATGTGGCAGACACGCATGGAAACATTTTAAGGAGCACCCCCCCCCCCCCCCCCCCCCCCCCCCCCCCCTTCCCCTTGATCATTAAAACAAAAAGTTCATGCTCTTGCATGTTGTCAGCCGCTCGGGGATTGGCTCCAGCACTGCCAATCGTGAGGCTGTAATTAGGAAAGGTGAGCAGCAAAAGTAGGAGAACCTCTAACAGGCTGTTACCGAGCGTCTCTCCTCACAGCTTTGGAATCTGTGATGATTTGCAAACTAAAACTGAATACCAGATAATGATAATTTTGATTTTGAGATTTCCCGTGCACATAAATGACGCGAGTGTATTTCAGTGTGAAAACTTTATTCTTTGCTTCAGGGGATGAGGTAATCACGGGGAAAACGCTGATTAAAATTTAGAGAGCAAGAAGCAGGAGAGAATTTCGGGAATTCATGACACATTCATAGAGGTACACCAGCAGCAGTAAACAAGAGGAACATCCTCTGCTGCTTCTGAGAACAACTCACTTCTCTGTGTTGAAGTCCCTTCTCAGATCAGATCTTTAGAAATAAGGCTGTGCTCATCTCCTCAGGCACGGTCTCACCTGCAGTACAGAGCATAATGATGACCCTGCCTCTGAATGGATGAAATTACAACGTACTTTGACAGAATAAAACTTTTAAAGGGACAAATATCTATGAACACCTTTTGGCGCTGGTCAGTGATGTCACTCGGTGCTGAAATGGGCATGAAATATTAATGTCCTCGTACAGTCCTGAAAGAGATGATCTAGAGACACAATGGCTACGAGGACCGAGCTATTGTATTCTCCCCCCAGAAATGCTCCTGAAATTTTCCATGGAAACACGGCTGCCTACATCATAGGGTAAGATAATGACTTTTACAGATTTCTAAAATAAAAAATCATGCATAATTCCTGAAAGCGTGAAAACTCTGGATGTTTTTGAAAGCTAAACATTGCTATTAGACCTTTTCATCCTTGGCATTTTTTTCACTGTAAGATCAATCTGACTGCCTTCTATTGCAGGTAAGACACTGACAACTCAGGGGTATTGCATGAAACCCTGATGATCAAATAAATAATGTTTTTTGCAACGGGTTTCACAAAATATGTGGTTTGTTTCTAAAATAACTAACATTGCATCAGATTATTGACTAGATGAAAGCTGTGTTGTGTTCAAGCAGCTTGTTTGAGATTGTTTTTAACAAGTCTGCAGCCACTGCTGAATTAATCCTTTTATTAAATTATTCTCTTAACTAAAGAAGAAATCTGAGCCAGAGTTTGTTAGCCAACTATAATGATCCCTTAGCCTCGATCAAAGATTTCATACTTCTTCCCTCAAAAAAGCTCCCTTTCTTGTGCATGCATCTTTTATATGGAAAAACAAGAAGGAAGGTTGAGTCATCAGGAGAAGTATGTCTCATACAGAGCTCCTGTAATAAAGCACACTGCTGCAGCTGTAGAAGGCAGCGCCATCAAGACCAGCATACCACAGCTCTGTTGGTTGACATTGCCACGTAGCCTCCACAGCCTGCAGTGGAACACACAAAGAGCTGTGGAGCTACCGAAACTGCATGAAGAAAACAAAAATGAACAAGAGGCCTTCGCAGCGCTTTCGCTGCTCGGGCCTAAAAAGATCAAACAATGCAGACAGAACTTCAAAACGCACTCCAACACAGACTTACAGCTTTGTAATGCAGCCCGTCATTTTGCACTAGACCTTTACAGATTTATTTCATTATATTCTTCATATTTTATGCTAAACTAAAATACATATGACTGGTTAACCTTTTCCTTTAAAGATCATGTCTTTATCTTTCAATTAATCATTTAAAGTGACAATGTGTAGTTTTTTCCATTAATCTCTGGAAATATCCATTGAAATGTTGTTTTAAATTAATTAAAAGATACCCAGTTGTTGAAAAATATTAGCAGTTTCATAACTTATGAATATAAAAATCAGGTCTAAACTATGTGGGAGGGGGTCTGAGTCTCTGGACGACGCCATATTGGATGCCATATTTCTACGAAGCCCGTAAGGTCAGAATGTATTTACTGATTTGTAACAAATGGTTGCAAAACTTTCACCATTAATAAACATTGTTCTTTTACACATTTGCCTCTTCAGTCGTTGCCAGTGATGAAAGAGAATCTGGTGTTCTTGTTATTTTGCTGGAGGTTGCACTCCCAAGGATTTTTTACCTTAATGGCCATCTGTTGGTACGGTCTTACTTGAACACTAAAATAATGCTTGCTTGCAATGATTTAGGTATCTACTGCCCCCCATCACCAGGGAAAATGCACACTGTCACTTTAAGATTGAGACTTTTCACTAAAACTCGATTTAACTTTGCCATTTTAACAAAATTTTCAGTAGATTTTAAGAATTGACAGTATTGAAACACTTAATCAGTTAAAGCACCAGTTCATATAAACATGCACCAGCCGTTGTTGTTTTTCACCTTGAATAAAATGTGAAAATCTGTGTATTGAGCAAAAGCAGAATTCACTTCACCAGTAAATCAGCTAAGTTAAATTGAGTTTTAGTGAAAAGTCTCAATGTTAAAGTGACAGTGTGCATTTTCCGTGGTGATGGGGGGGGGGGGGGGGGGGGGGGGGGCAGTAGATACCTAAATCATTGCAAGCAAACATAATTTTAGTGTTCAAGTAAGACCTTACCAACAGATGGCCATTAAGTTAAAAATGGAGAATGTTTTTAACTCTGGCTGGTCACTTCTTTTCTGACACCTGATGCTTTTTCATCTGACGCTATTTGGTCTGAGGATGTTCTTGAGATACCCAACAACTTTTTGACAACATTTTTTCCTATATGATGATTTATTTGTCAGATTTCCCCTTTTTTAGACTTTACTGATTAATGAAAAGTTGCACTACAATCTCATGAATCTTGTCAATTTGACCATGTATGAGATTTGTCATTCCAATTGAACCTTTGGTGTATTTTTCTCACAAATTTGTGTTTCCAATGAAGAAAGAAGAAGAAGAAGAGTCAAACAATCTTTCTCATTTAGCTGTAGAAAGTTCCCAGCCATCCAGGTTTTAATAGAGTCTAAGCAGTTGTGCAATAACTGCAGCTTAGACATCTCATGGGGCTTAAAGGAGATGTACAGTTGGATGTCATCTGCATAAAGAAAGTAGAAGATTCATTTAAAAGAGCCCAGGATGTGCTGAAGAGGAAGCAGATAGAGGAGTAAGAGATGAGGCCCCAGCACAGAATCTTGAGGGACACCATGGGTGAGGGAGGTGGAGGAGGACCGAAACTTGGGAGACAGCCACAGAGAAGGGACGCTCACATGAGAGGAGAACCACTCCGGAGCAGTTCCTGATAGGCCTACCCAGTCTCTCAACCTATCCAGTAGCAGGTGATGGTCAAAAGTGTCAAAGGCTGCAGTCAGGTCTAGCAGGACCAGAACAGACCAGTCCCCTGCATCACTGTGGGTCAAAATGTCATTAAAGACCCTAAGAAGAGCTGTTTCAGTAGAGTGACCTCTACGAACAACTGACTGGAAACTATCATAGATGTTATGTTCATCAAGAGCAGCTGTGAGTTAATTAACCACGACCTTTGCCAAGATCTTTGAGATGAACGGAAGTTGAAGAGATGGGTTTGAAGCTGCTGTGAAGAGATGCGTCAAGACTCGAACAAGAAGCGGGTGGATTATCGCATTCTTAAAGTGAGCAGGGACCTGATCAGAAACCAAAGAAGCATTAATCATAGAGAGCAATGTGGGACCGAAACAGGAGCAAAACCATCTTGGATGACGGACCGGGTTGGAGTTGGATAAGGCAGAGATAAGGCTGAAGGAGAGATGCTAGATCTAACCTTATTGACGTTGTCCACAAAGAAAGACAGGAAGTTTTTACAGTCTCCATCAGAGTGGGTGAAGGCTGTAGGTGAAGCAAGCGAGACAATGCTACTGATGGTGTTAATGCAGCCAGTAAAATATTTCCAGACGTCTCCTACTGATGCTCTATGTGGTACCATAAATATCTGCATCATTCTGAAATTATTGCAAAAAGTTGGCTGCCTTGAAAGAAGCCTGAAAAAAAACAGAGTGCAGGATGGTGTGAATAAAAGCTTGCATTCTTGGTCAGTACTCCTTACATTTTCTTTTTCATATCAACACAAAAACAGTCATCAGGGAGCCCAGCGTGCCATCATCAAGTTCCTGTAAACTAAACATTGATTTCAGCTACAGACTTTTTGCATTCATTGTTCTGCAGCAGCGTCTCCCGCTGAGAATTTCCCTTTGTGACACAAATGTCTGAACAGCGATTTCAGAGACGGTTCGGTCCCAATTCAGCACACAGATGTTGTCGGCTCTGTATGTGTGAAAACTGCTTTAATTTTGTCTTTTTTGCAGAGACACATATTTGTTGGAATGTGGAGTATTTAAAGATAAATGAACAGCAGGCAACTATCTGTGCATTTTAACTAACTTACACAATTAATTTCCAAACGTTGCTTTTTTTTACTAAAGACATGCACTTCTCTCATAATTTTACGTCAAATTATTCTTGTTTATGTTTGTTTATGTTTATGTATTTAGCAGACGCTTTTGTCCAAAGCGACTTACAAGTGATAATCGGCATGTTGCCCTTGAGGCTAACAACAACAACAACGACATCAGTCATGGAAAGTAGGGAACTAGGAGTGGACAGTAGAGAGAGGGACGGGTGCAGGGAGGTATAGTTAAGAAGATGCTCTCTGAAGAGCAGGGTCTTCAGGAGTTTCTTGAAAATTGAAAAGGAAGCAGCAGTTCTGGTAGTGCTTGGTAGGTCATTCCACATTTGTGGAACGATGCATGAGAAGAGTCTGGATTGTCCTGAGCGTGGTGTAGGCACTGCTAGCCGACGATCCTGTGATGACCGGAGCGGCCGGGCCGGGACGTAAGCCTTTACAAGAGGATTTAGGTAGATGGGAGCCGTACCATCTCGGACTTTGTTAGCAATTTGAATTTGATGCGT